ATACTATTAAAATAATCTATGTGCATGACTAACTTTTTTTTATTTAAAACCAAAACCTAAAAACTTTCTTGTACTTTTTAAGGCATATATTCCTAACATGCACAGCTGAAGGGAACTGCCTTTCCTAGATACTGTCCTACACAAGAAAAAGTGTAAAGCTTTTTCCTTAATTCACTGTACATATGCAACTTTACCAAGATTACTTAAGAGCAATAAAATACCTTCGTATCTGCTCTTTCAAAACATAATGAAAAAGCTAGAGTCAAAGAATCCTGGTTTCAAACAATAAGCATAGTTTCTGCACACCTTACTAAGCTACAGAACACCATGTGCTAATATACAAAATAAGTGTCTCTAAGAAACAAAAAAAGTTTGGGAAAATGCTCATAAGTTGGTATCCAGAACTGTATATGCAAGTGACATCCATCTTTAACCACATACAATTATTCCTCTTTCACTTTTTACGTTTATGCCATGGCTTCTCAAGGTATGCAGTTAAATATTCGTTAGAACTTTCATGCTTGAGGAAAATCAAAGATTTATTATGCCTGCATTTACTGCTATAAATTGATTTACATACATACATAAAACAGACATGCAGCTAAACTGTTCTACGTACAGAACCCAAGGTATTACACACAATCATGATGCTGTTGGACTCCACTGCAAAGCCAAATAGTTTCTGCTGATATCTAAATCTGGATTCGGTTTGATTTCATTGTTTAAGGTCCTTTGCCCAGGATCCATGTCCCAATTGTTGTTGCTACTCTTTTTATGGTTTGGTCCTATTCTTGACTTTAGAATCTCATTACAACAAATACAAACTTTCAGGGTAGCTGGACTCGTAGTACTGCTCGATTCCAGAGAAAGTTTGAGAGAAAATATGATCCCAATTGCATGTCAGAAATGCTTACAGATACACTGGATATATATCACCCTTGCATATTCACATCAAAGCAAGTAATAATTGGGATTTTCCAAGTCTCACATCCTCACAGAGACCCCTCTAACTGCTGAATGCCGAATGTGAAAGAAGGAATCCTGCAGCAGCAGAGCTGGGCAAGAGGAGGTAGGTGGCAAGGAGAATGGAAAGGAACCGCTCACCTTAAAAACACACTTGCAAGAACATTAAAGCAGTAACAACTGGGCAAGGTTGCAGGAAGATGTATGCATTTTTGTCTTCATGTAGTAATTTTTAAACTTATTAATAGCAGTTGTTGCATGATTAGAAATAAAAGCAACTTCAACTTCCTTATTTGCTGTTTCAGAAAAGCAAGACAATTACCCAAATCAGTGGGGCAGGCGGATAGAGACAGCATATACTTTTTCTTTTGCAATCAACCTTCATTCAGATGCCTGAATCCATAGAATAGAACATCTAAGCATTGCAACAACCAGATCTAATTTATTCCTGATTAATCCTCTAGCTTCTTATGATATCTGGGTCAAACCTAAATGTTAAAGCTATCTAACAGAAAAAAAAAAAACCCAAACCAAACCAAAACAAAACACAAACCCGAACGTGTGCTGAAGTGGAAATTGGGAATTTCTAGTGATATTTCCTGCTACTGATGTTGCATGCCTCCCTCATAGAGCTTTCCACCATGCCCCCAGGAGGGCATATTTGCCCAGCCATGCAGAAGCATAGCCAGGAAACTCCTCAGTCTTTGCATATGAGAATTTAATACACAAAGCAAGAATAGAGCAAGAATTGCCTCCGCCTAGCTATGATGTCCCTTGCTGAAATCACCATCTGCACTGACGTCGGACAGCTATGCTAAAAAGCCATGAACTCATTTCAGACAAACAGAAGTCGTAGTCACTGGCTTCTCAGCACAGCTGGGTGAACAATTAGAGCCAGGACTGTCAGGACAACTGCACAAGTGGGCTTTCAAATATCCAGAAAGAAGGAAGGGCTTGTGTTGCCCTCACCCGTCAGCTTGCCGCTTTATGGCACCCTGCATCATTTAAATATGCTCCTCAGCTCCCGAGCCGAGTGCGTCAAGCTATGAAAATGTCATAATGAGGCCAGACGGAGATGCCAGCTGCAGCGTAGACACTACCAGAGAGGCAGGGACAAGGCCTGTGGGCGCCTGTGGCTAGCACACGTGTGCAGGGCTGCTCCGCTAGTCAGGCTGGTGGTCCGTAACACTTCCACCCCAAGAGTCCAAGCTTTCGGCATCGCGCAGTTGTATTAGTTTTCATTTATTAAAATATGAGGATAGTTGGTAGACGTGAATGAATCATTTATAACCAGTGTAGCGATGTCTGCCGGACTTTGCAGGCTGTGTAGGCCATAGACATTGGGATCACCCGGAGGAAAGCCTGGCTTTACTGTGTGTAAGGCTCCAACAATCCTGCTCAAGACATAGACAAAGATTCCCCCTGCGCCATTTTGCACATGGCTAGTCTGACTGTTTGGGGAATGGACTCTGGCATGGTGGCTACCCCCCTTCACTTCTGCAAAACACCTGCAAAGTCCGAAGGGAGCCCGAGACATGTTTAGGACATTCAAGGCATACTGTGTCCCCGCTCCTGACATCAGTTTCCAGCTACTGGGATCCCTTCAGAACCTGAACTTGCTTTCAGTCCTCATCACAAAATAAAACAGGCAAGGAAAACACTGTAACAGCCACATGGAAGCCAGCACCACTCCACACTCACACAGACATCACCCACACAAGTGTCTGGCTATGAGTTGCCAGTTAATGACACTAGCAGTCAGTACTGTCCTGTGGAGATAAATTGAGGCAAGTTTAGCTTTTCCCTAAATTTTCAACAAATCAGATAAACCAGACCAAAGGCAGTGAATTCATCCATCTTCAGAAACCTAAGACAGCTCTAATTTCTTCCTTATCCCCTGAAGCTTATCAAAGACTATGAGATCAGGTTTTCATCTGCTTCTTGAGGTCAGCTGCAATGAAAGCACAGCAGATTGGGAGGAGGTTAAGAGAAAGCTTGAATACCACCAGATTTTATTCACGAGGTACCCATGTAGGTCTCTGATAAACCAGAAAGCTCCTGTCTAGAAAGACAGTATTGCCTGTAGCAGCTTTACTAGCACTTCTTCACTGAGCAATAGATAAAAAATTAACTCTTAGGGCTTCACTTGCCAAAGCCTGTACTTTTTGAAGAGACATTAAAAGTTCTCAGTATTACACCCCAAATTTCTGTTGAGTTGTTTATTTTACAGTGGACTTGGAACCAATGAGGAGCACACTTTTATTGTTGGCCTTCTAATTTGCTCATCATCAGAAAGCCAAACTTGAAGGCCAAATTGGTAGCTCTCTGGTTAATGCTCTGTAGCCTAATAAAGTTTTACCCACTAACCACAGCTGCTAGGAGCAGGATGCAATACAAACATCATAGCCTCTCGGATCTGAGGTTGAGACGACACATCCCTTCAGGTTGATTTGCACTGATCCACAGGTGGTAAACGAGGACATGCAATTTGCCCAACATCACAGAACAATTTAGTAGTATAACCAAGTGTTGTCCCTTGACCTGCTTATTACTGGAGCTCACAAGCTTCTAAGAAATACATATTTATTTGTTTCATGAACAAAACATTAGTTAGTTAAGCATTCCACCTTAAAGATTTACAGCAGTTAAATCAGATTACCTCTGCTTACTTGCAGATAAGATTACAATCTAATCTTGAAATACACATCCCTTGCTTTTCATGCAACACAATTCAACCTGAACATTTAAAAAGCAATGTGAAGTGATTCAGCACACAGCACTTCCCTTGAACACACAGAGGAGAAATCTTGTGCAAGAGGCAACCCTTAAGTACAAAGAGGTAAACTACATGCTCCTTCCGAGTTCCACAACTTTCGATCAACAATAACAACTACTTCCCTCCTCCCAAAGCCACTCCTCAGCAAAGACACGCAACTACAATCAAACTAGATCATATCATTTCCTTGATATTTTTTCCCCTTTAACAGCTAAAGTTCAAGCTGTCTGATTAATGACACCAATGAGCTATACAACAGTATTTACACAAGTAGGTTTCAAAGCTATCGTAAGCTACCTAGAGTTGAGTTACAGGATATTAGCTCAACTCTACCACTGAAAACAGTTTCCAAGTTCCACTACCTTTCATTCATAGAATAAAACTTAACCAGTAGCTGCAATGGTCCAGCTAAACATCTCAGGAGATCTCGTTTATAAATTTCAATATGCATTCAGTTCTGCACAAGCTTCATCCTTTTGGTGTGCAAAGACAGCTTTTACCAACTTCAGTGACAGCCCTCCACACCCAGCAAAAGAAATCGGTCCATACAGGTGATTTGGATCACTAGATTCTCCCAAACTCCTGACAACCTGCATGGGATTTTCAAAGAACTACAGGCATTAGGGCACACTTCCAAATTGCTCTTAAAAGTCACCAGCTTTGGCATCTAAGCCCACAACATGCTTTTGGAATACTCTGCCTAAAAACTAGCAATTAAAGCCACAGAGAGAAACGTGCAACAGCTAACTTGCATCTCTTGTCCAAAAATTACAAAACACATCATTCAAATACACCTTTAGGTAAAATTTAGAGGATGTCTAACGTTTCCAGAAACTATAAAAGGAGCTGAGTATTGATGGTATACAGATGGCTAACTGTTGACAGCGTTCGGACCTGGCGTTGGTCCAAAATGCCTCACTGTAGCAGACATGTCCGCAGGCAGGTGTGGAACACCAATCTGTGGTTAACATCTTTAAATAAAAGGAAACCAAAAAGCAAACACCATTTTTACTTTACATAATTCAACTAAGGAGCTGGGGTGGAGTGAGGGAAGCACTTTGCAAAACCTGTTTTCTTTAAGCCACATTTCAATCCTCACCATAACAATAGCTTTGGCACTGAAATGATGCTGCAGTGAAATACCAGTGTGCACAGTATCAAAACTCGTAACAGGAAACCAACAATTGGACATACTAGGTAAAGTTCATTTCAGCTTTAGTCAAGATTGTATTCAAGGCTCGAAACTATAAGTGTTACTTACTCACACAGAAGAATGCCGTTTTCTAATCCAGAACGAAAATCTTTCTCACCAAAACTTCTGCCTGTCACTTGCTGCAAAAGAGTAGGGGGAAACAAAAGGGTGACATCTATTAGAAGATGTGCTTTACAAGAGCAATTCATAACATTCAGTTAAAGCATCTGCTGCATAGGAAACATCAGAGCTTCACAGGCCTTGCCAAAGGACTAAGTCGTGTCCATCAACCAGTTTCTTCCTTCCCATTTCATCAAGCCATTTAACACATAAAGCAAAGTATTTGCTCTGGCCAGTGCAATTACAGATTGTAACAGAAGTGTTTTGTAGAAGTAAAAACCAAAAACAACAACTACAATGTATTCTTCAGAATATTTAAAAAATTATATTCTATAGCATTTTGAGTTCTAAAACTATTGTATTTAGACAAATGATGTATTTTTACTGCTTTTTTTTGCACCATGTTAAAAATCTTGTACTGGGCTTCAACTTCTAGCCTCTAACCTATCAGCTCTATAGAATAAACAAAGGCAACTGGAAGCACTCGCATGAGTTAACAGCCCTTCAGACACACATGACAATACTCCTGGTAGTATTATATGATATTTCACATCATGAAGCCAACTGTGAGCATGAATACAAACTCATTGGAAGCTAAGGTTTAGGCATCTACTCACAGTCCTGTCAGGGATGCTTAGACCAGGAGGTACATTCTGCATTACGAGATCTTAAGTCAGTCTGTGCTGCTTAGGAATGGACCATCTAGGAACTGTCTAGGAATCCCAGTCTCGCCTGAGGGTGCCGGATGCTACAAGCATGACTGAACCCTCATTTGTGACTCACTACCATGTTGACAATGGCTTGTCATTCATCCTCAAATCATTCTCAACAGATGACGTGTTCAGTTAAAAGTAAAGAATACTTTTTATTACCACCAACAAATATGTAAAAATAGTTGCTATGTTTAGAGAGCACTGAACAGAAACAAAACAAAGCCAAAAAAGTCTGCCTAGTTTTGAATTGTCCTCCAGGAGGTCTTCTCTTCACCCAGCCAAAACATTTACCGGATGCTTATAGAATTCTCATGGCTTGCATCCAATCTTTCAGCAAGACCCTTGCTCTGGGCATTGCTTCCACCATAGAGAAATAGTGACTTGGGGACACATCTGTCCTTACGTCCCCATTTTCTCCTTGCTGTTCCATTCAGATACAAGACCCTTCCCCTCCCAGTTTCCTGTCATAAAGACAGCAATTTATAAAAACTGACAAGTTTGGCACTTTCCCACGGGATTAGCAAACGCACCAGCTTTCACTAATGCTGGTTATAGCGACACACAGTCTTAGACAGAACAACACTTTTTTTTTTTTAATTGAAGTGCAAATACAAAGCCTAAAACCTAATCCCCCACTTAATTATAAACACATTGGTTTTTTTCATGTGAAGGAACTACTCCCAGCAAACTGGTATGACAGTGTGCAAACTTTAACCCCCCCATACTCTGAAAAGTATATCATAAAGACATCAGTTGACAATCATGGTTTATGCAAATGCATAAACTAGAACAAGGCACTGTGTTTCCCTCATACCTCAGAAGAAACCAGATGCAATTTGCCAGTAGTGACTTCTAATCATTTAAACTATCTCTAATCATACTAAATCATCTCTAATCTTGATCTGCTGGGACAGAGGGAAATCATGACAATCAAACCATTAGCATTTGGGATGAATAATAGATGGAGCACATCAAAACTGACTTTTATTTCACCCATAGAATAAAGTACAGGACAAAGAAATAGGAAGAGCTATTTCCTAACAGCCTCAGTGTTTTTTTCATCTATACAGAAAAAAAAAAAAGGATAGTAATTTTATTTCACTCAACATCAAACACTGCAGCTATGGAAGTCAATCTTTTTATGTGTTTGTCGAACACCCTTATTCACCAGGGAGCAGTACTGAAACTGTTAACACAATTCAGGTAAGAATCTACCTGCCAAAAGCTGTTGCCTGGGTATCACTGTCATTACTGCTGATGTAGGAAGGTTTCATACACAATTTCTGGCCACACGAATAAAATCATGAAATGCAAATGCACAGCTGGAACAACAATTAATCCAGTGGATGTACAACAGAAACTGACAGCAGGTGAGGAAAGACAGGAAGGTCCAAGAACAGTGCATGCCTGTTTGAAAAGGAACTGGAAGTAAATGAGGCATGGAAAGGTTTATGCCTACTCTAGATGGTCCTGCTGCAGAGGGGAAACATTAATCAGCTACAAGTCTCCTGATTTAGCCAATTAAAATGTAAGAACAGTTCCACAGAGAAAAGCTAGAAACTAAAACTAAGCATGAAGATGACATTATAAATGACAAAGATGAGCCCAGAAGAAGACTAAGAGGAACAAGAAGCTGCGTCCACCTTTTCCAGAGGAAATCAGAGCTCAGTTTCTTGGCATATGCACACACATACGTGTGCGTGCACCCACACACGCCCCCCTCTGCAGAGGACACTTTGGGCTATACTGGATTGGCTTCGTGTAGCAAGGTTTTGGTAGCGGGGGGGCTACAGGGGTGGCTTCTGTGAGAAGCTGCTAGAAGCTTCCCCCACGTCTGATGGAGCCAACGCCAGCCAGCTCCAAGACGGACCTGCCGCTGGCCAAGGCCGAGCCCATCAGCGATGGTGGTAGCACCTCTGGGATAACAGATTTAAGAAGGGGAAAAAGTTGCCATGCAACAGTAACTGCATCCAGAGAGAGGAGTGAGAACATGTGAGAGAAACAACCCTGCAGACACCAAGGTCAGTGAAGCAGGAGGGAGAGGAGATGCTCCAGGCACTGGAGCAGAGATTCCCCTGCAGCCCGTGGGGAAGACCACGGTGAGGCAGGCTGTCCCCCTGCAGCCCATGGAGGTCCACGGTGGAGCAGATATCCACCTGCAGCAGGGGAGGACCCCACACTAGAGCAGGTGGATACCCAAAGAAGGCTGTGACCTCGTGGGAAGCCTGTGCTGGAGCAGGCTCCTGGCAGGACCTGTGGACCCATGCAAAGACCCCACGCTGGAGCAGGTTTTCTGGCAGGACTTGTGACCCCATGGGGGACCCACACTGGAGCAGTCTGTGCCCGAATGACTGCACTCCGTGGAAGGGACCCACGCTGGAGCAGTTCGTGAAGGACTGCAGCCTGTGGGAAGGACTCATGTTGGAGAAGTTCATGGAGAACTGTCTCTTGTAGGAGGGACCCCACGCTGGAGCAGGGGAAGAGCGTGAGGAGTCCTGTCCCTGAGGAGGAAGGAGCAGCAGAGACAACGTGTGACGAACTGACCCCAACCCCCATTCCCCGTCCCCCTGTGCTGCTGGTGGGGAGGAGGTAGAGAATTCAGGAGTAAAGTTAAGCCCGGGAAGAAGGGAGGGGTTGGGGGAAGGTGTTTTAAGATTTGGATTTATTTCTCATTACCCTACTCTGATTTGACTAGTAATAAGTTAAATTAATTTTTTTCCCCAAGTCGAGTCCATTTTGCCCACGACAGTAATTGCTGAATGATCTCCCTGTCCTTATCTCAACCCATGAGCCTTTTGTTATATTTTCTCTCCCCTATCCAGTTGAGGAGAGGAGTGATAAAGTAGCTTTGGTGGGCACCTGGCGTCCAGCAAGGGACAACCCACCACACATACCCTCAAGAACAACTACAGCCGGCCTAAAGGCCAGCCTCGTGCACATTGCTGAGATAACCTTTGCTCAGCACACTGAGAGCGGGAGGAGCGAGGATTTAAACTGACTTCAAGCAAAAGGACTGGCACTCTCGTATTTGCAAACAGAGTCCCGCATAGCTAAGTGCATACCAAAGTTTGCCCAAACCCACGTAAAAAGGAAAGCATGTGCATTAACCATGGTATCACAAAACTGTTGCATGCATCACAGGACCATGTTCATGTTATTAGTCTAAGCACTGGTCTGTTCCTACTAGCTTATCTTCCACGTCTGGAAAAAAACCTCCGGTTTGACTCCTAGATGAAACTCTGAAAACGCCGACATACAAGGACTAGAGGGTAGTGTTTACTGTGCTTCTACTGAGCTTTATTGGACAAAAGAAAATTGTTCATCTGCAGCCAGGCACAGAAAACTGGAAAAAGGAGGAACAGATCTTTAGCCCATCAGCTTTCATACTACAGAGAACTGGTGTTCAGAACTCAACCTGCACAAAAACAGTCATGGACAAGTGCAAGGTAGTCTGTATCCTGGACCACTGACTTCAGGAAAGGAGAGGGGAAGAAAAAAAAAAAAGCAACACCAAAAAAACCAATGAAGATGTTAACTGAGAGAACACTGAGACCTGGCCTTTCTTCGCAAGGCCCTCTCTAGACCACCACATCTTACATGCTTTCAAGACACAACTCCATCTGCTACCTAGCATCGTCCCCACATCACCAGTACAGACCAGCACACTTAGGCAGTACAGGAGGAAGGAAGATACATGGAAGAGTTCCCTATTCACCTCTGCAATGCCCACACACTGCAATTCTCTGCAGTGCAGGGGTACCAACGTTAGAACGAAGCACCTTAAAGGCAAAACGCAAGCTGTATCCTGCTAATGATTACTAAAAATCCTGCCACTTCTTTAATAAGTTCTACAAAGCTGAGAGGAAAAGAGCTGCCTTTCCATATCATACTGTAAATTACAGAACAGAAGCAAAACGATATAATTTATTATTGTGCTTCATTTATGTGAAGAGGAGTTGGTTTTATTCATCATCTGGATGATATTTTCTTCTCCATAAAAAGCCGTAAGCATCTTCAACCAGGGCAATTATTTGACTGCCGGACACATTTCTCAGTTTCACTGCCACTTAACAACCCAAAAAATGAACCTAAAATGAATAATAAAAGTTTTTCTAAAAGGAATATTAGGAGACTAAACCACAGCACGCTGACTATCACAAGGTTATGGCAATGACTTTAATATGTACTTACACAGAGTAACACTTCTCATATACAGTATTGTTGCTGATTAACTCCTTTGTTCTTCGCAGTTACGCATGCCACTAAATTTATGTCATCAAGAATGGCTCTCATCCAGCCACTAACCA